AGCCCGGGCGGGCCCCGGGGTTGGTGTGGAAGCCACAGGGCGCTCGGTGCCAGAGGGCCGTCAGCCGTTTTTCATTCCAGCTACAACATCGGCTCTGACAGCTCCGATGCTCTCAACAGCTGCTGGCTGAGAGGAAAGGGCTTTGTTCGCTGCCGCTAAGTGAGAAGCACGCAAAGTGAGAGCGAGCGCAGGAGCTGCTCTCCTAGCACAGAGAGTGCCTGTCAGCTCGCATTAGCCAAAGCAGCCTCCTGCCAGCGAGGCGGGGTCGGTGCCAGGCTGCACGGACCCAGCCAAGAGCCATGCGCCCGGCAGATGCCAGCCCGCTGCACGCCACAGAAACGAGATTTGCCTCCCGAGCAGCCCCGGGTCCCAGCCGAGACGCTGCTCCCACGTCGACCAGAGGCATCGCAGCAACGAGGGTCTCAGGGCAGGCAGCAAAGCAAAGCAGAGGTTCACGTGCCCACAGAGGAAGGGACGGCAGCTCTCTACCAAACTTGCGTGACACCTGCCACTCCTGAGCGAAAAACAGAGAGGGCTGGGAAGGAGGGAACAACTTCCAAGACTCAGCAACGTCACCATTCAAAGCAGAGAAGCAACTGCTCGTTCAAAACTGAAGCGACTCAGCTAGCAAGGTGTTCAGCGAGGATTACGCACGGTACACCCAGATGCACAGCACTTCCAGGCAGTTTTTTCACGACAATGAAGTATGTAAAACATGAAGCAGCTAGGAAGAACACCCTGCGGCATGGAATGCCAGGGGAGAGGTGAAGGAGACTACGTTGCAGGTCTGCTGTTGGGTGGAGCAAGGAGGAGGGATGGAGACAAGAATTGTGCTGTTTTGCATGAAGGAACTCAAGGAGAAAGTGCCCCAGTTGATGAAGATGCTGTGAAAGGAGGGAAGATTGCCATCTTGTGGAAAGCACGGGAGAGAGGCTGCAAGGCAAGTGAAAGCGTGGGCTCACAGAGCACGGGTGCTGCTCTGAGACAAAACAGCTATTCAGACAACTCCGAATTGTCAAGAACTCATCTGCATTCACGAGTCAAACCCACATCCCTACAGCAGTCATGCAGCCTTCTGCTCTGCTCTAACTCCACAGCCACTGCCATCCACCTTCAGCCTCCTGACTAGATGCAGTGTCTCTGTTTCTTCCCAAGAATTCCCCAAAACGCAAAGAAAAACTACAACTATGAAAAGTGAAACGGCCCTCCTCTCACATTGTGAGGACCACCTTCTGTTTACCATTAGCCTAAATGACTTTATTCCACTCTGTGGACATTCATGGCACGACCAAGAAGGTCTTGCACCTTACCTGAATGACAGTGGGGAGAATCAGCTCTGGGAATCCAATGCTGTGGGCTTGGCCATGGAGATACTCGAGCATCAGGTCATAGAGCTGTTCAATGAGTCCGTCCTGAGGAGGGGAAGCAGAAATAGAGGTATCGGATAGAAACTAAACCCTACAGCACCCAGATTGTAAAATGAGTCTCCAGCCTTACAGGACAGGAGGACAAAGCACATTGTTTGTTTTTTTTCAGGGAAGCTGTGCACTGTCAGGTGCTGGGATTCCACTTACTCGGAAGACCTTCTCCTGCAGGTTGGCATTGGAAAGCTTCAAGATCACTGCGAAGTTTATAGGCTTGGCACTTATACGTCCTGGCTTCTTGTTGAAATCTACTTGTTGGAAAATCTATGACAGAAAAAAAACCATACAACTGTAAAGATGACCACATCGCCAAACACAACAGATACCACACGACTCAACTAAGATCATGAAGTTGGTGGCAGAGCCGAGAAGACAATCCAGAAATCCTGATTCCTTGCTCTGATCACTGTCCTACAGCTTTCTTGAATACCCTAGCAAGGGACAGTTAGGGAGCAAACATCAACCACACTTGAAGCTTTAGACACCGGAGTGTGAAAAATGCCACAGAAGCGTGAAATAAAAGGAAGCCAACACAAGCAACAGCACAAGAAATCGAGTTTGTTCCTCAGACCCACGCTTCTAGCAGTCAGAGATTTTACTACAAAGCTTGAGTGTATTTTGGAGCTGTCCCTCAAGGTGAAAAGCTTTTCAACAGCAAGATTAAGCACTGCTTACACGAAGGACTAGATGATCTCTAAGGTCCCTTCCAGCCTAGGCCATTCTATGATTCTATGATTCTATGAAATCCATTTTATTGTCACTGGAATAATTGGAAGCACGAAGCAGAGAGACGGGGCAGTCCTTTTCAGAGACACCCCTTGGCAGGCATAGTTTCTACTCTAAGACATTTTCCATTGCTGTCCCTTGTACCAGTTATAACTGAAACAGCTTTTGAATAAGTCCATATTATTCTCGTGGACATATTTCATTTTATAGCAAGGGATACGGAGAAAAACTCCCTTTCCCAGAGTTTGAGAGGAGACCACGCACCCTGCTCATCAAAATGCTGAGCACCAACAAGCTTCAGAGTGCAGCTGGATGCCCAGTAGGTCAGCATGTCATGTCAAAAGGCAGACCTGCACCTTTGCTTTTGTGTTTTTCCAGAGCTTGTTGAATGATAATGCCTGGGGAGTGAAGCATTTCTGAAACAGAAAGTATGAAGCTTACACAGTAGAAAGAAGAAAATGGAGAGGAAGTTCACACAAATGCGTGTGACTGGCTCTCCGGGGTGGCATCTCCAGTTTGGTTTTAATTAAGAAGAGTCACTACTGCCTTAAAAACTCCACAAATTGTAATCAAGGCCAAGAAGTGTCAAAGTCTCCTCTCCACTCTCTCCTTTTTGGAAGGAGTTTCTCAACTTCATTAGAGGACCAGTAACACAAATCAAGGAGAATTTCCATTCTGCACCTCCCCAAAAGGTGACATTTTGCACATAGGGAAGGTACCTTCAGCTGAAATCAGCTCAACCCAGAATCGGGCTCAGCCCACATCACCCTGGGCAGCACCTGGGTACACTGTGCCGACAAGCCCAAGTACTGCTCTTCCTCTGAAGGAGGGAGCAAAAGGTTTCTAAAACAAGGAGCAATATAAATACTCCTTTTCCCAGCCTGGTAGGGGCAGGCCTAGGGAGAAAGATGGGCAAGAAGTGCAAAAGCCACTTCACCTGGGGTAGATTACCAGAGAACCCTGTGAGAGGATAACGGACGGCAATCGAGAGATGTGTTCAGTAGCAGTAAGATCTCATTTGAGAAAAAAATAAATTAAAAACATCAGCCATCGATTGGTAATCATTTGCATATCTGATGACACCCACTGAGGAGGGGTGATAAGAAGCTTGTCCTGCCCACCTCAAAAGCAGCCTACAGGTCCTCTCCCTGTCCCCAACGCTTTTCAATCCCGCTTCTGAGCAGGAAATAATTACTAATCCCTCTGTGCAGCAGCAACACATTCATCATCAGACCCCAACCAGCCCAGCGAGGCAGGGATGCAGCACACTGATTACCAGGGGGTGAGGTGAGGAGGAAAGGGAGGGTGTTCAGGTCACACAGATGCCCCCAGGCCAGAAAAGCATGGAGACGACTATTGATTTTTTTTTACATTTTATTTGTCAATCCAGGTTATTTGGAAGGGAGGGACAATCTTGGTGGCTTGTGAAAACAAAGAGCCCTAGCCTAGGGAATCAATGCTATAAACCTCGTTATGCACAGTTATTTCTTTGGCCAAAACAGCAGTATTGATCCCTGAGGTCAGACACATTAAAGTGAAAGGCGTCGGGCTCTGCGGGATCCTAACGCGCTGCTAGGCAAGGAGGGAAATGCAACCAGAGGTTCTGAAACTCCCCCAGGAGGTGCCAGGGAAGTGTGGAAAACGTGGTTTCCACCTCAAAACTGGGTAGAATGGATCAGCCAACAGAATGAAGGAGAGAGGATGACTCAACAAACTCAACAAATTGTAATCAAGGCCAAGAAGTGTCAAAGTCTCCTCTCCACTCTCTCCTTTTTGGAAGGAGTTTCTCAACTTCATTAGAGGACCAGTAACACAAATCAAGGAGAATTTCCATTCTGCACCTCCCCAAAAGGTGACATTTTGCACATAGGGAAGGCACCTTCAGCTCAGAATCTTGTGGCAGGGCAATAATGAGGGACTAGCAGGCCAGAAAATGTCAAAAGACAACCATTTGGCTTAAGGGATAACCATAGCAGACAGAGGAAAGGACAGGGCAACACACGCAGGAAGGAGAAGGATTTCTGGCAAATCTCAAGCTCGCAGCCGATTTCCTCACGTCTTGTCGGAAGGGCGCTCACACACACAGTTTACGCTGCCAGAGCGCAAACCAGAGAACTAACTCTGCACCCACAGCATCACCCCTTCAGCCCTCGTGGCGATTTCTTTCTCTCAGGCTCTAGTAAAAACCTCCTGGCATCTGTGTTGATCGCCCCAAAGCCAGCTGCCCCAGGCCAGCTCACAGCAGGGACTGGCTGGGCCTGCCGGCAGCTTCCCCTCTGCTCTGTCAGTCACTCTCTCAACCTGACTGAGGGAAAGGCCGAGAGAGCCCAGTTAAGGTTTACTTATCGCCAAGTTCAGACGAGCTGCCCAACTTTCTGCAGAAGCCGGCTTGAAGCACTACCTTGTAACACAGAGGTGGAAGGACCTACAGAATTCATCTAGCAGAGCCAGCCCGAGCAGACTGCTCAGGTATCTGCAATGACACACATTTCACTATTCATCTAAGCAACTTCCAGACACACCACATGAAACTGTTTGGTTTGGTAGGTTGTTTGTTTTTTTTATGTTGTAGTTATTTTTTCCTCTCCAATGCTTATGTGAGACTTCTCGTACTTCATTTTTTGCATATTGCCTCTCATCACTAAGTGCCAGTGAGAAAAATCAGGCTTCAACCTCTCTATTCACAGAATGGTTGAGGTTGAAAGACAGCTCTGGGAGGTTATCTTGTCCAATGTGCCCTGCTCTAGCAAGGCCACCTAGAACCAGCTGCCCAGCACAAGGTCCGGAGAGCTTTTGAGTATCTCCAAGAATAGACTCCACAACATTTCCAGGCAACCCATGCCAGTGCTCCGTGACCCCCACAGTAAAAAGAAGTATTTCCTGAAGTTCAGACAGGGTGTCCTGCATTTTAGTTTGTGCCCACGGCATCGTGTCCTGGCACTGGACAGCACCAGAGTGCCTGGCTCCATCCTCTATGCACCCTCCTTTCAGGTATTTTAGACACACGCCATCAGTCTTTATTGCAAGAGCAAATTGCTGGCTCTGGGTCAAAATGTTGTCCGTGTCCTTCCCTGCAAAGCTGCTTTCCAGACAGCCCGCCCCCAGGATGTTGTTATTACAGCTGCAGGACGTTGCACTTCTCTCTGTTAAGCGACATGAGGTTTCTGCCTGCCCACCTCCCCAACCCATCAAGGTTCGAGAATCCCAGGACGCTTATCTGGTGTATCGACAACTCCTCTCAACTCCTCTCAACTTCGTATCATTTGCAAGCCTGAGGATGGAGCCACCGTTAATGAATACGATAACCAGTATCAGCCCCAGCATCAGTCCCTGGGGTACATCACTAGAAGTTAGCCTCCAGCTAGATTTCATGCCACCAATCGCAGCACGAGCCTGGAAGTTGTCAATACCCCTCATGGTCTGCTTATCTGGTCTGCAGTTCATCAGCTTGTCTGCAAGGAAGCGATGGGAGATGGTATCCAAAACCTTGATAAAGAGAAAATAAACAACATCCACTGCTCTCCCCTCATCCACTGAGTCAACCATCTCACTGTAGAAATCTATTAGATCGGTCAGGCTTGAGTTCACTCAAACAACTCCAGGTACCTGCAGGGCTACGATCCAGAAAGTTAAGAGCTGCGATATAGTGGTGGAGGGAGGAGAGAGGAAAAGGGAAGGCACAGGGGTTCAGCTCAGTCTGTCTAAAGTTCCAGTTTTTCTTCTCTGTGTAGAGCAGGCAAAGAGCCCACATGCTGCAGAGAACTAATTTCAGAGCTGTGCTTAAATTTATGGCAACATCCAGCATTACTGATTCTCCAACGCCAATCTTCACATCAGCTGATTTCCTCCGACACAATCCGCTGCCCACTCCCATATATGTTGCACTCCAAGCCCCTGGGGACTTTCTCCGAAGCAAGCTGCACATCCAAAACAAGACTCAAGCCATTTAAGTGTCAAAGTGAAAAACTCCTGCCTTCCTAAGCATGTCAGGGTTAACCTCCTCTCCCATCCCTCCGCAGGGGAAGTGGATTTTAAATTGGCATGTGATGTCTGCCTGTGGGGAGATTTCCACCTTGTTTATCCACACCTGCCTTCCAGCAGATGAGCCACCAATTTTCTTGCTGCAGAAACTAGTGCCTGTCATACAATAATTGGAGTGACGGGGAGGGGAGGAAAAAAAAAAAGCCTAGGATGTCACAGACCCTTCAAAGGGAGTAACAATACAAAAATACAAGCCTGCCAGCTTTACACTCTCTCCCAAGCCACCCTCTCCTATCTAAGATGTATTTTTAGCAAGCTGCTCCTTTTACTCCATCCTGGAAAGCAGAGTCAGAGAGAAGACAGCACTGGATACCCAGGCTGGGGAGCATCAGCCCTTGTCAAGATGCATCAAGCAGCCACTTCTCATTTCTGCTGGCGGGGGCTTGGGGAACTCCTGAGCCTGCGGGAATTGCACAAACATTCAATCTGTCATCTCTTGAAAGCAGCGACCTGGCTGAGACAAGAGGTAGCAAGGGCTGGTGAATTTGTGAGCTGGTACAAACACTCTCAGCTAAAGCACGACGGCTTGGGCATCAGAACACAGATTCTCCTCCCAGCATCACCACAGTCAACCTGGGACCTTGGGCAGGTCACGTCCCCTCCATGTCCTAAAGCTTCCTACCATCTCATCCACGCAGCTGGAACACATCTCCTGCCTGAAAAGAGCTTGGGGAGATACCCTAAGGGTTGTAAGAGTGTTCAGGTTCCTCTGTAACAGAGGAGGGGGGAGTTGGGAAGAAATGGAAGTATAAAGGGAATAGCCCTAAATGCTCTTGGGGAATCCACAGAATTTTTGAGGGCTCCTTTGCAGGAAACAAGCAGGAAGAAGGTGAAGGCCAACAGCTGCAGGGACATTCTGGAATTTAACATTGTGACAGTCACCTCGGGTTATGCAAGTTAAAGCAAATTAATTGTTAAAGCAACGTGAAAGAGCATGCAACACACATGCACGTGTTTACCCTGCCCCCATCTCTCCCGTGTCACCGACACCTGGACAAACTAAGCCAAGCCAGGCCAGGCCTCCCAAACACACGCAACAGGATCGGATGTGGTTGGGGGCTTGGGGAAGCTGGGAGGAACCTCCGGGAGCCACATGGTAACGTCTGGCTGGGGCCCAACACACTTATTAGAGCTGAGGTGTTGGGGACAGAAGGCAAAAAGAGCAGGGGAAGGCCCCGAGGGGAAAAAGACTTTATTGCTCAGAGCACTGAAAAATAAAGGCAGAGGAACCATCCTTGTGCCTCAGACTCCATCTACCCCCGAGCAGAGATGCCTCCGTCACAAAACCTGGCTGGCAGAATTTCAAGTATGCATGAACAAGAGGAAGGAAGCAGGGAAATGGCAAAGCCACACAGGCCAGCGAGCGGAGGCGGGAGAGCAGGAGGAGATTTATAAACATCGCCGCCTTCCACAGGCTCAGAGGATGTGGTCTGCAGAGGACGTTTATAAAAACACAAAACCACAAAAGCCTCTGCTTCAACGGAACCTGATTAGGAACGAGCCTGGCTGACTCGGGTCATTTATTACAGAAGTCTCCCTTTCTTCTCCTCTTCAGCACCCACCTCATGCTGACCTACCAGGGCTTCTGCATTGCTCGCCCTGCCTCGCTCACACTTCTCCCGTGAAGTTTGGCTGCACCACCTCTCTACTACCTTCTCAGAGCAGCAAAGCTCTCCAAACGTACTACATTTTGCCATGTTGTGTTCGTGGAGATTTTTTTTCCCCCTCCATATAAATTCTTCAAGGGTTTTTTTTCTTTTTGCCTGCCGTTAGGAGAAACTCTTCCTTTTGGTAAGATATGAACACCTTAGCAGGACCAAGTACAAACAGCTTGAGGTGTTACTGCAATCAGTTGAGCCCCTGAATCTCTTCTTTGGCAAACTCTTGGCCTACCCCAGCTGCAATAATTAAACTATCTAGGAATGGGTTCTTTTGCACCCAGCTGATCTCAGATACTCTCTGATTACAAGCCCAATAAAAGTTTAATCCTATTTGCTAAGCAAACAATACACTCCGTCTGATGTTGTTTGCCAGGGATTTTAGGGAGCAAGCAAACAGGACAATCCGGAGAGCTGTCGGTGTGCACAGTAAGAGTGTGTTTGCTAGTCTTTGCCAGGTCAGCAGTAACCAACTAACCTCCAGGATAAACGGCAACACTGGGATGAAGGTCCTGGTGTTCTCAGACAGCAGCGTAAGCGCGCGGATGCAGTGCATGCGCAGAGGGTAGAAACGAGACGTTGGTACCAGCCTAGAGAGCAGAAAAAAAATAAGGGTATTAGGTCAGCTTTGTACAGAAACTGCACCTGCAGCCTTCAGTGACACCCGAGAGCCTTTCCGACTCCACAAGAGCAAGCCAGCTTTCGCACTGCACAGCCAACTGAGCTGCTCAGGCAATCCCACAACTGGAAATAAAACTCACACATATTAAAGCTGTAACACTAACACACACATTCCTGCAACCACAGCACTAGGTTTCCAGTTTCTGCTGGGAGAAAGTGCTACAAGATAAAAGCTCTGCAGATGAAATTTGTTACTGATGCTGTTTAAGTCACATCCAGCTCTCCTGCTCCCTTTGTACAGTTGGGACTGAGAAGAGTCAGCTTCCCCAGCACCACATAAGCCAGCAGAGGGGATGCAGAGTTATCCCTAAAAGACACCAGACCTCAGTACTCTACCACTAGAAATCTCTCACACTGAATGACCTGCACTTGAAGACATGGATGCATCCAGAATTAACAACATTTTTAAAAAAAAAAAAAAAAAACAACCCACAAAACAACCCTGCAGTTCCCAGACAACAGGCTCAAGTCTGATAAATGAACCCCTCCCCAAAGAGCTTGCTGAGCAATCCGGGAGAGCAAAATTAATGCTTGACCAGGCACCATAAATCACCTGCATCCCCCCCACCTCAAACAGTGAAATAATTATCATTGGATCCATTACAGAAATAAATCTACTTTGCACCCCTGATCTGGCACCACTGGAAATGACGAAAGCCATTCTCAGGAATTAATTGATCAAGGAATAAACCTGTTAAGTGTATGGATTTACTGTAAACCAAAACCATTAATTTTAGAGCACACAGCGATGCAACAATCTGCTCAACTTCCCAATATCTGGATGCACAGGGAATACAAAACACAGCCTGCTTCCAGCTCTGCTGAGGAAGGTCCAGCTGCCTGGTCCCTCCAGGGTGCAGCCAGGGGGGTTCAAGGCTTATTTTTACTCACTATAGCTCCTTCTGTTATACTCCTGGGTGACCAGTCTTCCTCTAGCAAGAGAGGACAGAGAAAAGCTGCTTTCAACATCAGTCTCCACCCCACTGGGACAAGTCACCAAGGGAAGTTGCTCAGGGACACCAAGGCTGTGCTTTGCTTCTCTGTGGAGGAGGCTGTACCTGCTTTCTCCCCTACATCTGCCAAGAGGTCAGAAACCAAAACTTAACAGGCAACAAAACTCCTCCTTTAACTCTAAGTCAGGGAGGAACTTCATAGATTAGACTGGGAGCAAGGTAGAAATCCAAGCAGATATGGGCAGACAAACACCTTCTGGGATGAGGAGAAAAGGGGTAACACAGAATAGAAGCTTCTGCAACAACTCTGCTGCAGAAAAAGCTAACCCTGAACTTGGACAAATGCAAGCACAGGGATCAAAAGGAGAAGCTTCTGGACTACAGAGGCAGAGAAAAGCACAAAACAGAGAAAGGAAGGGGGAAATAATTTTCTCCACATTCTATCTCCACGGTACCTACAACATTGCCCCAGTGGTCAAACCAACTGCAACCTTTCAGCTGTTTGTGAGAGCAGCATCACTTATTAATACATGGCAATTCCGTGAGCAAACTTAGCAATGAGGCTTTTCCCAGGAACACAGAAATCCAAACCCATCAATTCCAGCACTTTTCCCTTCAATAGCACAATCTGCCTGGACCACATCTTGAGCACAAGCAGCTTCCAGACACACCAGGGTCCATTTCTGAAATACGTATTATTAAAAATCGTTTTGATGCATTTTATATGCTGGAAAGCAAGAAGAGGGAGCAAGAAACCAAGGGAGCTGATTTTGGTTTTAGCCTGCAACCTTTTTCTACTAGTTATGTTGTTTAATTGCTTTTCAAATTCTGCCCTGGTCTCTCCCTTTAGAGCAAAAAGCCTGTGATGGATGGTGGTTTCTCCCCAGTGCCTTCTCCTAAGAGGCCAAGGTGGCACAAAGAACTGCCCAGGTCCCACAGACAGATGGACAGACCGACAGATCCACCCTTGTGCTGGAGCCAGGCGCCACCTCCCGGTCCCGAAGGCGCTGGGGGGCTCCTCCCAGCACAACCACCCTCCGGATGCACCCCCAGAGCAGCACATGAGGAGCACAAGTGGGAGAAGGTATTACAGATGCTCCTCAGCACCCTGCCCCACCACCTGATCACATACACACACCTCTCAAAGCTGAGGAGCCTGGAGAAACAGAGAGGGATCCATCCAGCTCAGTCCCAGCATCTCCACAAGGAAACGTACCGGCAGCAGTCCCACACTAAGCAGCCCCCAAGCAGATGCATGCCCCTCTAAAGCTTTCCAGAAATGCATAAATTGGTACATGCAGCAAGAAAAAACCTTGACCTGCAGGCTACGGTATTTTATCCTCACCTCAAACAGAAACAACCCGAGTTCTTTCCTAACACTTGGTCGCTACAGACATATCCACACCAGTGGATGTGGTACCAGCCTGGCTCTCACGGTTCTCAGTTTAGATGATGTCAGGGGTTGGAAGGGACCTCGAACGATCATCTAGTGCAACCTCCCTGCCAGAGCAGGATCACTGTGCCCAGGAAGGAGCCATTAGAGATCCTGGGTACAGCCCAAAGCCTGTGGAGCCACATCATTGCCACATCTGCTAACCTACCCACCCCCTTTTTATATCCTGGACACCAGCCTGCTTCAGGAAGGAAGCCAAGGTGGAATCTTATTTCTATTTTCCCCACCCTAGAACCCATCTGTCGAGCTGTCAAATCTTTAAAGCCTTGTCGGACAGTAACTGTACTTCATGCCAGGTAGCCCTGCCCATCCCAGATGTCAGCAAATTCTATTTGCTCTTGCTGAGACTCACCCAATTCACCTCTCCTTGGCCCCAGACAGCTGATTTGTCTGCCTGGACAGGTAGAAAACTGCCTAGATTATCCCACAAGACAACTAAAGCTCCACAGCGAAGCAGTGTGTGCACACGGGGGATGGGAAGAGGGATGTATGCATACTCTTAACGATCGTTTAAATCTGCTTATCTTCATCACCACTTGGGACTTTTTCAAGACCAGGCGGGTAGTGTTTTAAAGCCGAGAATCTAGTTAACAGAGCTAACAGGATTTCAGAGATCACCAGAGATTCAGAAATTCCCTCAATGCTCATTATTAACAACGATTTCAAAGCACAAAAATTTCCATACATAAACTGATGGGAAAAGAAAAAGAGATTCTCAGCAGAGACATACTAAAAATAATAAATGTGTCCTAGTTCTTCAAATTCTAATAAATATGCACCAAAAAAAAAAAAAGGCATCTTCTGACTCTATTTACAGAGCTAGAGATGAGGACTTGATTCTGCACTTCGGCACTGTTAGGTCCTAAGGCAGTAGGTACACTTTTCCTTGCCACTTTGCATAACTGGAAAAATAACCTATCCAGGCTACTCAAGAGTGCAATTTCTCTTACTCAGAGAATTTAGCCTGGGAAATAACTTACACCACAAGTTTCTCATCACCTAGAACACATGGGTGCTCACAATGCACCATTGGCTGTAATACTTCAATCAAAAACAATTCTGAGACAAAGCAAGGTTAAATCCAAAAACACCTCTGAGTGACTGCTCTGCCAAGTCAAGCAAAAGAAAAAAGTAAAGCCAGAAGAAGGAAGAAAAAACACCAAAACAGGCCCACTTACTTTATGCAGCCGATGATGACCTGCGTCAAAGGATAGATCAATGGCTCCATGACCTCACTGGGATAGATCGTGCTGAGCACCCGACACCAGAAATACAGGCAGTGGATATACTGCCAGTTATAAACAGACTGAAAGTTCTCCTGCAGAAAAGGGAAAAACACAGACTTGAAAATGTGGCATCTGAGAGGAGCTCACTCTGGTTTCACCACATTTTATCCACCATTCTCCAAGAGGACAACACGTACTGTTTAGGGAGGAATAGCTTTGACGCCAGTGGCTTACCCACCATCCAGCAAGTTCAGATGCCGCAGCGGCAACATTATGAATTAAAGGAAACAAGGTGCAACTCCCCGACTGCTTTTCTTCACAAGTATGGCTCATCTGAGAAGGATGATTTAACAACCCAGCTCACAGCAGATGGTGGGATGCAGACAGGCATTAGGAAACCTTTAACTGTTCCATCTACCCAGAGTCCCTAGGTCAGTCCTTCATGTCCCACAGGTAGGAGGGCTGGAAAGCAGTGCCCCTCCCTGACACCCCAGTAACTTGCCTTCTGCTCTCTGCAGACCAGAGCTGGGGAGGAGGGGAGGGAAAGGGTTTGCAAACCCTTGCACTAGAACCAAGAGAAACTGTTTCCAAGAATGTTTGGGCAAGCCCCCACTCTCCCTGTCAAGTGTTTAAGCAATAAGTTGTGGAAAAATAAAAGCCCAGAAGAGTGCAGGAATCCCTTAAGGACACCCTTTCCAAAAGAATTCTGCAGGCCCACGTATTCCCCAGAATTGCATAAAGAACTTGTGATATCACACTTAAGGTGCTTCAGCTCCAATCTGTGTTTGTTTCAGACATTTCCCATGTCCTGAGGTCATCTCTTCTGGATCATACCTTGCAGTAGAGCCTCAAGCCACAGCTGGAAACAGCAGAGCTCTCCCAGCCCTCACCAGGTCACCAAAGAAGCTCTGTTCCCAGCTTCTCTTGCACAGAACAGATTAGCAATCTGCTCTTGTAATCACCTTCCACTGCTCAATTTAAATTAATTGGCTTATTGCTTGGATTTGTACATTTTGGCTGTGCTACTGTCATTTAAAGTTCCTACAACCCTCCCCAGCTGTGAAATCATGTGGATTTAGCTCTTGTCTGGGACAGGACTGAGGGTGTAAGAAGCCAGTGCAATCCAATTAGGGTATATGCAAGCCCAGACTTCATTTATCCCCATGTCTGAACAGCCAGGAGATTTATCTGGTCACCAATCCTGCAATGTTTGGGAGCAGTTGAACAATTAATCTATAGGGGTCTGTTTTGCTAAACATGAATAAAGCCGAGATTAGCAATCTGACTCAGATTTCTGAGGTCAGACTGGAGGTGGCTGAAATCAGGGCAGCTCTCAAAAGGTCTGAGCTGCTTTGTTCAATTAAGTCCTTTAAGTAGTATAGACTTCACTGGAAAGATGCATACACCAGGGTGGTTCCTAATCTTCTTTACCTTGAGGTTTTGTGACAGAAGCTGCAAACACCACCTCCAGTGTCGAAAACGGGTGCTCAAGGCAGACAATGGAAAATGCAACACAAATTCTTGCAAGTTGAGGAGAGAAAAGTGATTGACCCTGCAGTTGTCTTTTTTCTCCTTCCTTCCTGAAATTCTTAACTAACACAAGCAACTACGAGGTAATCTCTTAAGCTTCCAGCCCCTGGTAAAAAAATTCCTTGGCTCAGACATGAGTACTGACACTTGAGACACCCCCAGAAGTGGCTACTGAATTCTTACCCTCTTCACACACATTCCACAGCAGGGTACACTCCTTCCACGCTGACGGGTACCTACCTTCTTCTTTACGGTCATTGCACTGCGCAGGTGAATGGCAAGCTGACGGATATAGATGAAGGCATGTTGGTAAGAGGTCTGCGTGTCCAGGGCGTACATCTCCGTCAGCGTGCGCTGCATGAAGTTGATCAAAGGCAGGACGTTGGGAGAGGTGAACCTGGAATTCTTCACAAACGCGATGTACATTTGCTGCGAAGGAAAGAGGACAAGATACAACCCCATGAAACAAAATAAAACCATTGTTTCACTAACATTCCTCACCCAGGTATGTCCAAACCAGGGGTGGAGTATTTCTTTTCTAAAACAAGTCACTTCAAAGGAATATGTAAAAATAATAATCTAGCCTGATCCTTCTTCAAAAGAGACAGGAAAGAGCCTGTTTAGGAGCTTGGAGATGCTCCCATTTTTGCTTCTCTGCAAGGAGAGAGAACTGTGGGATGGTTTTTAGCCACACATACTTACCGTTAGTCACATTTCTTTCTGGTAACACAGGTATCTAAGCAGACTATACTTGGGAACTTCAGCTATCAGCTGAAAGATCAGAGCAGCTTAGTAGCACCAAGTAGTGTGTCAGCACTTGAGAAAAGCTCTCAAGAATGTGGAAGACAAGTGTTCATCCAGTAGACAGATGAGAACCGGAGGCCTTCCTAGCTAAGACCCTGTGTGTCTCCAGCAAGAAGGACAGTAGTAGGAAGCAAGAGATCACTCTGACCTAACGCTGAATTTATTCCCCATTTAATTTTCTCGAGGTAGCCAGCATGACCTCCAGCATCTGCCCTACCCAGCAGGCTGCAGCTCATGCTCTAATGTCTTTGCACGTAACATGAGAAAGAAAAGGTGCAGAGTACAGCAGGTACCAGCCTTACCTTGAGCAAGGGACTGAGGTACACCTCTTTCTTGTGGCGGCAGATCTTGTTCAGCACAAGGAAGGCCAGTACTCTTACTGTTTCCTCACCTGTGCTCCACAAATGAATTGCTTGCTGGAACAGAAAATACCAAATACAAATGAGTGAAGGGACAAATAGTCCCTTCCTGGCAACAGACAGGCCTGAGCTTCCCTCCTTCAAACTAAAAAAAGCAAGTGAGGAGGAAGATGACACAAAGATGTCAAGCTGTACTGTCACAGAATGAGTCAACAGCACTGGCAGCCACTCTGTCCTCATACTCTAGCTGTGAGACCACCCGAAAGGCAAGGCTGATGTTTCTACAATCAAAAAAGGAAACTGCTGAAATCTACCATCTCCAAAAAAATACATGCACTTCCCTCCTCACCATCCACTAGAGAGCAACATCACACTAGAGTATGCATTTGGCTGAACCATCTTCCAGTTTAACATTTGTCTCTGGAAAGGAAACACCAGGGTTTGACTTCTGAATTTATCAATGTTTTTTCCCGCTAGGCAAACAGGTTGTAATTCCTAAGATACAGATATATATATCCTCACGGTAGCTCTGAATTAATTCCAGTTCCCTGGGCATTCACTACATTAATTCAAACAAGAGCAGCAGCAGAGTTAGGAGCCAGACAGGACCTGTGTAAGGCAGAACTTCTGCTGAGACATATCCTTAGTTACTTTGGTACGGACGTGACGACAAGCACCTAAGGCATCATAAAAACATCAGCTGGAGAGGGATAGGTTAGTCCGTCTCTGCAGGGATCTGCGCTACCAGACAGCCCACCATTGACATGGAAACTCATTAATCTCAATTTTACACGTTTCTGCGTTGCATGAAGCAACCATGTGTTGGTCTCTCCTCTCAACTTCTTGAGAAGTAGGTGAATAGATTTTGTTCTTCCCAAGCACGTCTGCATTTGCCTGTTCACTTGGACACAGTCAGCCCCATCAAGAAACACTGGTAGATTAGGATCACAACTATGGCTGATGCCTCTGAAAACTGCATCCATGAATTGTACATGAAATCAGAATGATTCCTACTTCAGGGCTGAAACAGCCTACTCAAAAGTCCCTTCTGCAGCAGCACGGAGACTGCCACACATTCAGATATGAGGTGTGCCAGCCTCCCATCACCAGGTACCAGTCATCTTTGTCATCAGAAAGGGTTCCCAGCCTCATTTAAACAATGTGTCGCAGTTTCTCATTTAAATGTCACCCCATCGCCCTCTTCCGTGCCTCCTCTGTTGTTCTTAAGCGCTCAGCAGTTGTGACTAAGTTTCTGCAAAAATATTCCGCCCCCATCTCTGGAGAGTGAAATACTACCACAGACGTACAGCCTCAGTGTGCCGGCAGCAATTACTCCATCTGCCACGAGGAAGCAGACAGCTTCCCCACAACACCCCCGTGGCGCTTTACACATAGGAGCAGCTACACACAGAGACACGTGCCTGCTCACCGCAGCCCGAGAGAGCTTCACGGCACCTCAGCAGCCTGTAAGAGGAGCAGGAGCCCCTTCCAGGAGCACAAGAAAAGCAAAGGAATAGGGTACACAAGACTGAACTGTCATGGGATCCAGCCCAAATAGCACGAGAGGCTCATCTGAAGGGGAAAAAGAAGGTACCCCAGACCCAAATGACACGTCACAGCACGTCACCTTACCTTGAGGAGGGCACGGCACTGCTTTGGAAAGGACAAGTAATAAGGCACTGTGGAAATGACATGCTGAAGAACCGCCACACCAACTGAGGCTTCCGTTAAACAAGACAGGAGCTGTGGAGGGAAAACAAAACACAATCCCATTTAGTGTGTAGTCCTAATCACCTCTTCCTTTACCACTGCTTTGTTTCCAAGTGATTCTGTGTTACCAAAGGAGCAGAAGAGTAGCCTAGAAAAAAAGCTCATATAAACACATAAAAGCTGTTATCAGGAAAGGAGCAGACACATGGTGGGTTTAATAACTCCCCTGAAAGTACATCATGCTGGCAAACGTGAGCTCAGCCTACTGGACTTGGATGGCTTATGGCACCTGAGGTCATCACATAAAACCTCATTTGCATATACTGCAAAAGTTAAGTCTATACATAGCTTGAGACCTCTTACAGACAGCACGGCCTCTGTCTTCTCCCTACAAAGGTCACAGCGTGATGAAGACACCCTCAGTCTACACAAGGCTTGGAAACAGACCATCTGAGCTGAGAACTTACTGGACTTCTCCAGACTTCCTTTAAGGGGAAGCTGGAATACCATTGGGTATCAAGAGGTTAACTCTAGTTCAAGGAGGTTAGACAAGCTAATAAAAAACAGTATCTTTGTATTTCCAGGTTGTTCACCTCAGTTCACCTGAAGCCAAACCTAGAAACATTTGCAGTTTCTAATCTGAAGACAACAGCGAACTCAAAGTTACTTCGATCTGAGAGATTTCTGCCTGATGCTGTGCCCCCGCCTGCAATCCCAGTTGCTGGAAGCAGAGGCATTTTTTTTCTACTTCTAACCTTCCTCCTCGTTCTTCTTGCACTACAAAGATTTTGGACTGAGCAGGTCTCCTTTGCAACGTCCCTCACACACCAAAAGAAAGGAGAAGATATTGTTCAGGAACTGCTATGTCAGAAAAACACTGTAGTGAAGCCTGGGACTGAGGGTGCCCAGAAATAAGCACAGGACCAGAGATTACCTCACTGGGACTGCATTGCCAGCTTTTCCTCTCCCACTGCAATCTTCTGCTGCTGGCGAGAGGCATGATGACTTGAGAAAAAAAAGCTGATCAAAATGCTCTTTCTGCTAAGTCATTCTGCCAGCTTACAGCTAAGACACCAGCACTTTCTTTTTCATCCCTTATATCCCCTTCCCTCAGCTTCTGAGGACTAAGTACTTCTATGTTGTTGTTTTGTTTGTAATATTCCAAACTTGGGGATGCATGATGAAGCAATCTCAAAAAAAAATTAACTGGGGAGAGGAATTTCCTTCAGAAATACTCCATGAATTGCCTCTGAAACACCAGATCTCAGCAACTTTAGATTGATAGGATTATCCCAGTGGAATAAAGCATAAGCGTACTTGTTAGTATTTACTATAAGAAGCGGCAATATAGTATTTCCAAAAATTGCATTAAAGATATCAAAGGCAGGAGCACAGCACTACAAAACACTTCAAAGGCCACTAAACACTAAATTGTCACACAGAAGAACTACCAGAACCTTAACTAAGGCCCTTCTTTAAAGGTCACCTATTTTAATCCAACCATCCTATTGACCTCCGAATTGTTAATTACACCAAATACTTCCAAGGCAAGACAGGGAACTGGATGGACACACAAATCTCAGGTGCCAAAGGCTTTGAGACTCGGAGAGATCACTTCTGCCCACTGCAGCCTCAGCCAGCAAGCCTGACTTATTCTCCACTACAAAGGGAGGCAGAGAAACCAATATTCAAGGTTCCCAGTATTGTGACGACCAGAAAGTCACTCTCAAACTAGAGTAACTGTCTTTTCAAAAGGAAAAGCACCTGAGGCTACATTGTTACTTGCTTTGTTGGCTCTCCTTTTAGCAATGTTGTTCACAGATGCAGAAGCTCACATGCCTCGTTCCAAAAGATCGTGAACAAAACCCCAGTGATGCACAGACTGACCCCAGTAACACAAACAGGCTGAAATTTCTTACTTGTATGGTACAGTTGAGGTACATTTTTACATCCAGTCGCAGCTTGCTCCAAAGTGGGCTGGTGGAAGGGAGAACCAATCTGGAAATAAGCAAGCATTGCGTTTAGCTTTATAAAAGAATTCTGGCATCACACTCCAATTAGCACACCCAGGACATCCCAAAATTCAGATGTGGCCCATGTAAATCAGCTGCCACCCTGTTCCAGCTTCGTGGCCGGGTTGCAGTTGTGAAACCCCCCAAGCAGCTTTCTCTCACCTGCAGTTCTCAAACCTCCTCAGACTTACTTTAGTTTGTTCTTTGGGGGTTTCGGATGAAGCAGCTTTTGCAGGTAGCGGAAGAGGTCCCGGATGCAGAAGGACACAAGGGCATTGAACACTGGTCCAAAAAAAAGTCAGTAAAGCATTTGTAAATGATTTTCCTTATATTCCTGGTTCCTCAGCTAATTCAAAAAGAGCTCCCCAAGGAGATGAAGCCAGTAACTCCCACAGCAGAACTATTGTTTCCACAAGCTTCTGGAAACCATCAGGTTTTTTCTTACCCTAAAATACTTTTATCCAAACAGCAACATTACAACTGACAGCTTTCTGGTGCAGGGGCCACCTCTTTGCTCTATGAGTAAACTGCACCAAGCACAAAAGCAGCCTGACCTGTGACTATGAGTCTGTTACCAACGTGAACTCGCGAGCGTGACTGAACTCTGACGTTACAGAAAGCTATTTGGTAAGACCAATTCAAATAGTCTTCTAGGATTAGTTCTAAGACGGATCAGCATGGAGTTGTCCAAAAAACTGTGTGCTACAAAAATATAAGAAGTACCCAGCTTCACTCTAAGAATTCCAGTGCACAAAGCACGGCACTTTCCTCAGCAGCCTGCAAGCCCAGCTGCTCCCAGCACACACACCAAGAGGGAGACTTATGCACTGGGACACCAGAAGAGACACCATTGCACAGACTCACCAGCAGGAAGATAAGCTACTTAAGTGAAATGAAGCCTACGAAAGGGTAAGTTAACTCCTGCCAGGATTTATCCCCACTCCCCTCCAACCTTCCCCACCAAATGACCTCCCTTCTCCCACGCAAGTAGCAGAATGAACAACTCACCCGCAGCATCGGTGACTTGAAACTTGCTGGGATCAGCCCCGCCATCATCTCCTTTAGTGGTTGCTACCGATGCCTTAAAGGCTTGAGCGATTTCATGGAAAAGTTTTGGTGTTAGCCCTCTCTGGGGAAAGAAGAAAAAAGTATGGCTAAGGAGAAAAAGCAAGCAATACTCTGAAGCACTTCACTGGGACAAGAGCACTGGAATTCATTTTAAGCTCGACTGCAAAAATAGCTCCATCCTATAATATGAAGTAAAGACGTCAAGGGGGCCTTCACTTGCCCTAAAACGGGTTTTGAGGGCTTTTAATTGGATGAGGGTTGAGAAACAACGAATCAGTTGCAAGCAACTATCCAATCTGACCTTTCCCTCCCACTCTTAGTCAGATCCAGCAAAGTATTTCATCACCACTCAAAACGTGACTAAAAAAGTTCCTGGAGCTGCCAGAGGCACAATGCCTAGCAAGAGCGTGAAAACTCAAAAGTTAACCATTCTGACCTCTTCTGAGCCACACAAGTTTCACTCGCTTCTCCCCGAGATGGAGTGTAAGTACCCTAAATCTTGCAGCCCAAGAAAACTGCAAAGACAAATCATTCTGAAGGAACAAAAGCTTCAGGAGTATGACCTTGTATGTAGGACATACATCTTCTCTGCAGATTTTTGTGAAAAATGAATGAAAGCTGGTCCCACACGTGGAAGAACATTTAAAGGAGAACACTCCAGTGACTGATACTCCAACTCCCTGCTCACCTCTGCACCTTTTTTCCATTCTTCAACCATTTTCAGGCTCACTGAAATGAAAGCAACTTTCTTCCGTTTAACTGTTTCGTCGTCTTCTTCCTCATCTTCGTCACTTGCTTCCTAGAGAAGTTGGTACCAAGACTGAGAAAAGGCTTATACACTTCTTTTGCTGGGTAGCTACTGAGTAGGAAGGCAGGCAGCAGCAAATTTTATGAATGGCATTAGCAGCACTTTGTGTAACCCAGTACTGAAATCAGAGGTATTACAAATTCAAAAAAAAAAAGCAGCTACTGCAGCTTTGCTACATAAATATAATGTGCAACAACATAAAACATCAAGGAGAAGACATATCACTCAAGGCAAAACAAACTCTCATTGAGAAAGGTGACACAAACCCAAAGCCACAGAGAAAATACACTCTAAGGCTCTGCCTTCTCAATCATTAACAAGCTCCCTGTGCTCGGTTCAAATCCACAGCTGACTTCTACATTACAAGCCTGCACACCTGCAGATGATCTTCTCCCCAACCATCTCTCCCACACACCCAAATACACTTTGGCCTTGCAGTGAAACTCAAATACTTAACAGGTAAGTAATTGGAATAATTGATCCCAGTATTCCAAAACAGGACCTAGTACCTCCAGCGTATCAGGTGGTACGTGCAACTGCTCCTCCTCCTCGTCAGAGCTGTCTGAAGCATCAAAATTCAGCAAGTCGCGATCATTTTCCTCCAAAAACTTATAAAATTCAGGATCTTTGTCCTTCAGCCGGGAGAGCTGATCTTTATGTTCAGATGCCTTTCCCTTTTTCCTGGCAGATAAGGATTAGCATGTATTTATTTCACTGCTCAAACTTCTGCTGGTGCTGTAAGAAAAACAAGCAACTTCTGGGCACTAAAGCACACCCGGGGCTAATCAACAGTGATGGATTTATCAGGGCTGTGGCCACAGATCACACTTAACACCTGCTCTAGAGCACCTGTGAAAGGTTATTTGCATTCAGCACTAAGGAACCTTGAGAGCAAACTACCAGGTAACATTGGGATACAGACCAAAAGATGCAGGGAGAAAAAAAATCTGTTGCTCAATTTCTTGGAGTTACTCTTGCAAGCTTTCCGCAAGGAATACTCACTTTCTGCAAAGAGTACTCACTTTCTGCAAAGAGTACTCACTTTCTGCAAAGAGTACTCACTTTCTGCAAAGAGTACTCACTTTCTGCAAAGAGTACTCACTTTCTGCAAAGAGTACTCACTTTCTGCAAAGAATACTTTCAGAATACTGAAAGCTATACTGCCAGAGAAACCTGACAACAAAATCTTGGTAAAAATCTTACCTGATACTAAAGAACTGGTTTGGCTTTTAATAACAATTAGCAGCGTCTATGAACCACCTCATCCCTTTTTTATCTGCAGATACTCCTGATGTCTTTCAGCAAGAAAAAACACACACCAAATGAGCAGAAACCAAGCAAGCTTCATCTGTAAAAGATTCAAAGCCCTCACAATCCTTTTCTCTACCAGATTTGAGCGAGGACAGGTGCGACAGGTAACCGACTGCCCTGCGCACTCAGCACCGAGCTGCCCCTTCGGGCACCCCCAGCCCGGCCCAGCCCGTTCCGCGAGGGACGCCCCGAGGGGTTACCTGGCAGCCGGTGGGGCCTGGGCCTGGCCCTGCCGCCG